GCCCCCGCGCCTTCTGGGCCCACCCGGCCCGCCCCCCAGCTGCTCTGCTCCAGGGTCCAAAACAAAAGCCTGGTCTGCTGGGGGGGGCACACTAGCCACGCCCTCCCCCCAGCAGACCAGGGACACGGGGAGCAGAGCCACAGCGGTGTGTCACGCTTTTGAGGCTTTGCTCTGGCAAAGCCTCAGAAGCGCGGGAACCCGCCCGGTGCCCCTGGTCTGCTGGAGACGGTCTCCAGCAGACAAGGGGCACCAGAGCAGCTTACAAACGGGGCTTTCTCGCCCCGGAGCTCGCAGGTAGCAATCCGCTACCTCGACCTCCGGGGCGAGAAAGTCCCGTTCGTAAGTGCGGATCCGACGTAAGTCGGATCCGCGTAAGTCGGGGACTGCCTGTATATAAAGTGCAGGTGGCCTGCCAGGGGCTAACCCTGGCAAACTGCATCTGGCCCACAGGTCACTTATTGCCAAAAATAAATGAAAATGTGATCCAGATGTTCAAAACTGAAACATGACTTTAATAAAGAGCCATCTATCTCAGAGATGGTATAAAACATGCATGCAGATTTAGTGCTATTTTGAGGCAGGATGGTATTGCAGACATTTGGTATTTTGTATAATTTTCCAAAAAATTTTCACAGCACCCCAAAGAACTGGACAATTCAAACAACACAGGATGTTGGACCATTCGTTGCTCTTTTGGCAAAAGATGAATTAACTGTCCTTGCTGAAAAGGTATTTTATCATTTTAATTTTTAAGATTCTACCAGATCATTTTAAAGCAATTTAAAATACATGCATTTCAGTACTTAATGGAAATTTAATTCTCCTTGCAACGAACCTTGTCAATATTTTTGCCCAGTCCTGCATTTGTTACTCAGTCAAAACTCTAGGGGTTTAGCCCATAATATAAAGAGTTAACTATGTATGTACATAGATAAGTACACATTGTTATATAGGAAGGGATTATATGTTTTAGGACCTACACACACTCTGTCACGCTTTCAAAGCATCTTAGAGTGTGTTCTCTGCTCCCCCATCATGCTATCCAAATGTGAAGAATTACTTTTCTTGGATTAAAACTTTTCTTAACTCCTTATTAACAATGGGAGCATCCTGTGAGCTATATATGTAGTATAGTTGTAGCCATGTTGGTCCCAGGATATAAGAGGGATACCATGGATGCGGTAATATCTTTTATTAAACCAACTTCTGTTGGTGAGATAAATTTATCCTATAAAAGATATTATCTCAACCACCTTGTGAGGTAATGTATAGGAAGATGATGATTTATACCTTTAGACCTTGGGCTAAGAGCTAGTGTAATATTAGTATAGTTAATATGGAACTATATCCTGCCCTTACAAGTGATGGACTATGTAGTTTATTTTCCAGCACTCATTTTTATAATCTTATTATCTTTATATATCTTTGTAATCTGGTGAATTTATTCTGGAGAAGTTAGTCATGGGTGCAGTCAAAAAGAGGATTCTCTCAAAGGATAAAGTTTAGCCAGAACTCAAACAAGTTGAAAATCAGCAGCAAAAAAAATCTCCCTCCAGCCTTTGGTTCATGCCAGTCATGGGACCATGTAACTGGAGCTTTTCTCAAACCATCCTCCTACTGTCTTCCCTGGAACAGCTGTAACAAAGGAGGGGGATGCTGAGTTGTGATTATCCCCTTGTTCATTGGAGCCTGGGCAATGCTCCTGCTCCTTGTCATATCCTAACTGCTTTGTTTCAAATGAGAGGGGCTAGTTCTGAAAATGTCTTGTTGCTTTTATCTTCCCCTCTTTAAGTTCCCAGATACAATTTTACAAATAGCAAAGATGGCTCAGCCAGCGTCTCTACCTGAAGAGTTTCTGTCTGCTGTATTTGAATCTATTCGCAATTCCAGTACTAGCATTAGAGCAGCTGACCCTACAACTGGTGAGTATTTCACTGGTACTTATCCAATGCCAGTGTGTTGGATTGACAGTGGTGACCTTTTTGACTATGCTAGTGCAACCTGAATGGTCTCTTTGTTTTGTTTTGTTTTATTTTGTTTTGTTGTCAGATGCCATTTTGAGAGGTGGTATAACAAAGCAACATGTTGAGAATTTTAGAAGGGTTTGATCTTTTAGAAACGTGGGAGTCTTTGCTCCATTAACCTGCTTCTCTTTTTAAGGATCAACTAATGAAATACTTTATTCCATTAAAAATATGCTGCTAAACAAGTGCTGAAACATGTCTGGCTGCATACGGATTTTGCATTTTTAGAATTATTTTACTTTGCTTGTGGTATAAATGAAAGTTTCACGAATAGAAAAACTGCAGAAACAAAATGTTGAGTCATGAAATGCTGCCTAGTTAAACCTTTATCAGACATTAGTATATTTGTTGGCTCATCTTCTCTAAATGTGATATCAGCGTCACTATGGTCTAACTGTCTAAACAGACTACATTGGGTATTATAGATGAAAATGAATTTTACATTATGAAAAAAACAAATGTTTCCTTATCAAAATCTCTTGTGCCAAATGAAGTCTATCCCATATATTTATTGTACATACTTTGATTCTTTGTGAGTATATAATTAGATTGTAGCCTCTGACCATTTATATTAAGATCACCCTTTCAATGAGCCAAAGAAAATATTTAAACCATGTAATCTAATGGACTACAAGACATACCTGCTGTTGGGTAGATTTTTTCAAAGGCATAACTCTGCATTAGGCATCCAGTGTTTTCATTGTAAGTTGGGTGCCTACCTGCCTTTCACATGTTTGCAAGCTTCACCCTGGGTTCTTTGTTTAATATAGTATAGGCTCAGCTCTTCACAGATCTCTGTGCTTTGAGACCTTTGAATTTGTGTGGACCCCATTCAAATCTAGTGGAGTGATTTCCAGAGATATGAGGGTATATCTGAGAACAGAACTGGATCCTTATAATACCCATTAGCTCTTATTTAGCACTTTTCATCAGTAGAGCTCAAAAAAATTTACGAGAGAGCAATATATCACTATCTCCATTTTACAGGTAGGGAAACAGGCACAAAACAGTTGAGTGGCTTGCATGAGGTTAGCCAGCAAGCAAGTAGCAAGTCAGAAACAGAACCCAGTCCAGAAGTGCATCTGAGTCTTTTCAGTCAGGTAAACTGTCTCCTTTCATCCACTTCACTGACTTCAGTGAAAACAGTCCAAATTTACAAATTAAACATACTTGTTTCTAAAGCAGTATCTAAACAGCATAACAATTATTGTAGGTTAGATAATCTAAAGACTACCAGTACCTGAACACTACTGTGCAGTATGGATAAAATTCATAACCTCCCTACACAGGTTGTGATTTATGGCATAAAACAAGCTTAAAACAACCCAGAAACAGGCCACAAATTTGAAGTGCAACCTTCTCAACACCAGCTATTCCAGCCTGTCTTTGTGTAATTTAGGACACAGTTTTCAGGTTACTGGGTCACAAGGCCTGTACTGAAGTACCTGTAGAATTTGGAATATTTAAATGAGAAGGCTGAGGGGAGATAGGATTGCTCTCTAAAATACATCAGAGGGTTAATTACCAGAGAAGAAGAGGAGTTATTTAAGTTAAGCACCAATGTGGACACATGAATAAATGGGTATAAACTGGCCATCAAGTAGTTTAGGCTCAAAATTAGGCAAAAGTTTCTAATGGTCAGAAGAGGAACTTTTTGGAATAGTCTTCCAAGGGGAGCAGTAGGGACAAAAAACCTAACTGGCTTCAAGACTGAGCATGATGAGTTTACAGAGTGGGTGGTTTGATGGGACTGCTATGACTGCCACTGGAAAATATCCTCAACTGCTAGTGATGGGACACGAGATGGAGTAGGCTTTTGAGTTATTACAGAGAATTCTTTCCCAGAGGTCTGCCTGGTGCATCTTGTACTCATGCTCAAGGTCTAGCTGATTGCCATGTTTAGAGTCTGGAAGGGATTTTACTCCAGCTCAAATAGGCAAAGAACCTGGGAGTTTTTCACCTTCCTCTGTAGCAAGTGTCTGGGTCATGGGTCACTTACAGGTTTAAGCTCAGGGGTGGGCAAAAAGGCCTCCACAGGCCGGATCCGGCCGCCAAACAGGTGGATCCAGCCTGCAGAGGCCCTGCTGCTCCCCTGCCCCCAGCCTGGGGGCAGGGAAGCACGCGAAGCCTTCTCCACTCTGCCCCAGCCCTGCGAGCAGCGCATGGCGCTTCAAAGCACCGCATGCTCCTGGTAGGGCGGGAGGAGGCTTTGCATGCCCCTCCCGCCCCCAGGTCCTAATTGGCCTAAGAGCAGGGGAGTGAGGGAGGTCTCCTCCCATACCAGGCGCATGGGCATCTTGGGGGAACGTGGGGTGGGGGCATAGGCACTCCCTTACCCCCAGATAAATCATTGTCTGGGGGTGGGGAACCCAAAAATATCGTGACCATGCCCCTTCTGCTCAATGCCCCACCCCTTCCTGTGAGGTCTGGGGCCACTACAAAAATTTCTGAAGTGGCCCATGGCAAAAAATGATTGCCCATCCCTGTTTAAGCTAGTGCAAATGATCAATTATCTGTAACTTAAAGCATTTAAACCATGATTTGAGGGCTTCAGTAACTCAGCCAGAAATCAGGAATCTATTATAGGAGTGGATGTGTGAAGTTCTGTGGCCTGCAGTGTGCAGTAGATCAAACGTAGATGATCACAATGGTCCCTTTTGGCTTTAAAGTCTCTGAGTAACATGGCTCCAAAAGCTACTCTGGCTCATACCAGTGGCCTCCTCTGCATTCAAGTGCAACTGAGCCCCCTTCTGCCACCACGCTCCCCACCAAAGTCAATCATGATGCTCCAGTGCTGAGGAGACCTTTCTCAACAAGTATGTTTAATTTGGTTGAAGTGGAGACTTTGTGCTGTTGTCAGACACACACAAGAAAGCAAACCTGAATTAATTTTAATGAAGTTATGCAACATATTACACAGTTTATAGTGCATTCTCATAGTACGTTTCAGCCAGAAGTGAAGTTTTATGACTCGCATCAGATCAGTTGCCTCACAAGTGCCCCCTTGTGGCCTAAGGTTGCTCTGAAGTCACTTTGCCTCAGTTTCCCTCTTTAAGAGGATTCTTAAACATGCCAAACAAACTCCTGTTAAATTAATCAACACTCCTTCCTGCAGCTAGATATATAACATAAATTTTTCAAAATAAAAGTTCTCACATCCCCATCAAGCTTCTGCCCCAGTCTTCCTGCTGGGTGCTGTGCAAGCCTTCCCTGCGTCGAACCCTTTTCCTGACTCCGGGTTATCTGCTGGAGCCTTCTTGCTCTCAGAAGCAACTGTCTCTGTATCTCTTCCAGTGACCCCCCTCTTGCAGCTCTGAGTAACATGGATCCAAAAGCTACTCTGGCTCATCCCAGTGGCCTGCTCTGCATTCAAGGGCAACTGAGCCCCCTTCTGCCACCACACTCCCCACCAAAGTCAATCATGATGCTCCAGTGCTGAGACCTTTCTCAACAAGTATGTTTAATTTGGTTGAAGTGGAGACTTTGAGCTCTCATCACACACACACAAGAAAGCAAACCTGCTCCTTAAAGGATTCAGGTGTGTCTACTTTGTTACTACAGGTTGGACCTCCTTTGTCTGTAACCCTCAGGACCTGATTGGTTCCAGACCAGGGGAGGTCAAGGGTCCCTCCCGGCCATCAGCTCCACTCCTGGGTGCCAGCCCTAGCCAGTGAGCTCCACTCACAGCCCAGGCTGGGGCTGTGCTCCCTGCTGCCATCCCTGCTGCCTCTAGTCACTGCTGGGCCTGCGCTGACCCCACTGCCTCCAGCCCCGGGGCTATACTCCCAGCTGTGCCAGCCCCACTGAGCTGGCCCTGCTGCTGCCAGCCCTGACTGGGGCTGCGCTCCCCACTGCCGAACTGTGCTGTGCTCCTGGCCTCTGGTCCTGCTGCCACTGGCCCGGAGTGCGCTTCTGACCCTGGCTGCCCCCACTCTCAGCCAGGCTGTCTGATCCAGCAATACCCATGGTGCAGCCAAACCATGGATGTTACCAGACCAGAGAGTACCAGATATTAGAGGTTCAGCCTAGCTACATGCCTCTAGCTATTAAAGGGGGAAGCCACCCTGTTACAGTGATTAATTTCTTAATCCCTGAAAAACAGGATTATTCTGGAAACATCTGCAGGATTGCACTGATCTAACATTGTTCCTCAAATTTCATGCTAATGGACCCAGTGGTTGTCTTTCAGAATATCCAGTTGTGAGTTTCATATCAACAATAATACTTAGCATTGTAAGTAAGGATTTTTTAATCTGTATTTTTAATAATATCATTTTAAATAAAAATGAGCATCCTAAAACCACTTTTTAGAGAGGGCAGATTTTCAGCGGAGATTAAGTGATTTACCCAAGGTCTCACAGTGAAGCAGTGGTAATGTTGGGACTAAAAGTCAGGTATTCTAGCTCAGAGTCCTGAAATGCTATTGTGTGTATTCACATCTAAGCATTTTCAAATATCTGCCCCATTCATACCCGATCAGAGTGAAATCTGATTATAGCAACAAGAATGAAATGGCATCACACACAGGAAATGCTGCCAGGATTGCAATGAATACTTCCATCTGTGAACTTGCCAGAGGAGCCGGTATGTTACAAAAAAAATGAACACCTGAAGGGCATTTTTTCCAGGAACCAAAAATATTAGGTTTTCATTGGCAAGGGCATGGAACTGTATTGTCTCTGCATGGGCAACATTTACATCAGAAAAGTTGACCTTTTGCAGTGGAGGAAAGTTAAACAGTCTAGCTTTAACAGGGGCCAATTTCAACTATGGACAAAGGGAAAGCAATGATGTTGGCTGGTATAGCTGAAGCCAAGTTTTTCTGTTTGTCCACAGATTCATCCCTCTCAGTGTTCTACCCACTGCTGCAGTTTTATTTGATTCAAATAAATCTTTCC